TGTGTGTGTGTGTTGTGTGTGTGTGTGTTGTGTGTAACAGAACCTGCCTATCCAGCTGTGGTGGTGCATACACGTAATCCTAGCACTTGGGAGGCTGAGGCAGGAAGGTATCCTCAAGTTTGAGGCCAGCTTGGACTACATAGTGAATTCCAGGTCATGCTGAACTACATAGCAAGACCTTGTCTCAAACAAACAAACAAACGACGAACCCAGGTCCTCTGCACTGAGCTCTATCCTAAGCTCCATAGTTTTGTCTGTTGGTTTGTTTGTTTAAGGCACAGTCTCACTACATCACTAAATGGCCTAAAGTGGCCTCAAACTTGTGGCACTTCTGCCTCAGGCCCCGAGAGTTCTGAGATTACAGGACTTTACAAAGTTCTCCTTTGAAAAAATCCTCCTCAGGAAGGTAAATATTATGCTATATTTTTTAATCCATAAGCCAAATGTAATATCTATTTACTGCAAAAAATTTACAATGTATCATTTTGTCCCTAGATGCATACCACTAAACTAATAATGCAATTGACTCAGAGACAGTACATTATAGGATTTACATTGTCTGGGTACAGGAGGTTAGAGATTTCTTTTTTTATATGTATTTGGTTATTACAGGGTTTCACCACACAGCTTGAAATTCTGGTGACCCTCCTGCTTTCAGCCTTCCAGTGCTGGGATTACAGGTGTTCACCACTATGCCCAGACTCTGGCTGGCTCAGCCCGCCCTGGGGGGCAGGGCTGACGCAGCATATGGTGCCAGGGATCCAACTGCGGTCCTGGTGCTTTGCCTAAGCTTGCCTAAGCAGGCTTTTCAGTCCACTGAGCTATCTCGCCAGTCCCTGGAGAATTTTAACAGTACCTATTCTTTGGAGAAATGTTCAGAACGAAAAGAGACAGCTATAGTAGTACTAAGCAGTTAGGAGGGTTTCATGGGAGGATTAGCCACTAATACATACTTAACAATTATATCTTAGTGTCCAATGCAGAATTGTCTTCTAAGTTTTATAGTATTATCTTTCATGTATAGGCACTTAATCCGTACATAATTTAATTTTTTTTCATATGATACAAGATAGAAACTCTATTTTGTTGTTTTCTGTGTAGTTACCTTACAATCTCACCTACTAAATGCCTGTATGATTGCTTCTGAGACAATCTAATCTGTTCTGCTAGCCAATTTATACCCCTGTGCCAGTAGCTCCATGGGGGATATAATAAATCTTGCTGTCTGGTAGGAACATTTTCTTATGTCATGTTCTTTGGGCGTACTTTGATTATACTTCATCTATAAAAAATTTTAAGTTAAGTTTTAAAATAGGAAAATCATGTTGGAATTTGACTAAAGCTATTGTCAAATTTCAACAAACTAATATTTTCACATTTTTTGTTAAATTTATTCCTAGGTTCATTTTCATCTTTACTCCTAAATGTAATGGACCTACAAATTTTCTTTACTGCATTGATCTAGGGTCTGGTCTTAGAGTGAGCATCACACTGAATAAAAACTGAGTTCTCTTATTTCCCATTATCTGTATATTGTGCAAGACTGCAATAACCAAGATTCTGAATGTTTAGCAGGAAAAATTTAGAAAATGGATATTTGGTTCACAAGGAAAGATGCTTTTTATAATTATTAAATTCTTCTGCCAGAGATGACTGTTATTTGTAATTTTTGATTTTTTAAAGTTTTTTTTTTGTAATTTTTAATTTCTTGAATCAGCTGTGAAAAGTTTTATCTTCCTAGGAATTCAGCCGTGTTATCTGCATCTGTGGTGGTTTACATTGTGTCAACTTGAAATGTCAGAAGCTTGGTTGGATCAGCTTGGGGATTCTGCCCCCTGGGGAGTGTCAGTCCGACCTAAAGGCCTGCCCTAGAGTGACTTGGCACAAGAAGGGCATACAAAGGGGTTGAGGAGGAGCTTGATCAGTGCAGCTGCGCCACTTTGGGGGAACTCAGATCTTCACAGCAGCCGCCGCCACTTCCTTGGAGGAGCTTGAGTCTTTGCAGTTGGCCTGAAAGGAAGAGAGAGAGGCTTGATAGATGCTGCAGCTGCTGCTCCTCCTCTGCTCTTCATTGTTTTCCACCACCATGAACTGCTGCCATCTTCCTTGGAGCCAGTGGAGTATGGACTGAAACCTCCACTGTGAGATATATAAACCTTTTCTTCCTTCATTTTGAGTGTTCAGTATTTGTCCCAGGAATGAGTGAAAAGTAACTGAGACAACATCCAAATTGCTGATTGTAGGGCTAGAAATTGAACCCAGAGCCTCAATAAGCTTACTAAATACCCTACCACTCAGCTCTGTCTCCATCCCCTAAATATATTAAAAACTCTGCTTGTAATATCAGCCCATCTGTTTAGTCCCTGCAGTTTCTACATTTTGCCAAATTTTTGATGCTTTCTCGCTTTTCTTCCGATTGGTTTCAAACAACTACTGACTTGTTGTTCTCTTCTGCTTTCTATGTCATCAATTTTGCTCCTTATTTTCCAGTTTTTGAAGAAGGGCCAATTTGCTATTATTTACCTTTAGTCTGGGAAGGTTATATTTGGAATACCATGGATAACTTGTTGGAACTCTGTCAATTAATTCCAATCTACCACACGCAGGGCAACCCACAGTGAGAATAAAGACAGTAAGGCACATTTGCAGTTTTGGGGAGCCTAAGGACCCTAAGTGTAGCAATGATGATGGCTATTCAGAACAAAGGCCTCCACCCAAGGCCAACTCAGGTTTTACTCATTCATAAAGGAGTGACTGGAGGTTGAGTGGCTCTGATAATGGCAGAGGTAGATGAGTACCATGAACTGGGCTAGGTGGGAGGACTGCATTCACCTGTGTAATATGCAGAGAGGATATGCAGAAAGACTAATCTGCATCACACAGTTGAGATAATATCTAGTGTTTTGGGGTCAGTGTTTCAGCTCTGATGTGTAATCTTCAAAGCTCCATGAAGTCATAGCCTCTATCTCCATCCCAGCTGACAGTGTGGAGCACTGGCTTTTCCTCCCATCTCAACCTGCCTCACACAAGGGAGCAGCAGGTTGGGGGGGGGGGAGTCACAGAAACACACCTTCATCTTCAAAAGACTATTACCAGCACCTTGGCTAGACAGAGATGCATTGCTTAAAGCTAACTGAACGGATAAGGCAAAGTCCTAGCTAGCTCTGTACACATCAGTACATGGAAATAGGGTCAGGCTCAGCCAAATGGAGACAATTGTTCTCTTTCAAGGAGAGCCACCCAGGTGGTCCTCCATAAGCATTTGAGTTCATTAATTTTCAATTTAATATGTAAGCACCCATAATGTCAGCTACTTGGTAAGATGAGGCAGGATGATTATAATTTTGAGGCCAATCTGGGCAAGTTAGGGAGAACTTTTATTTATTTATTTTTCTCAGTCTAGACCTTTATTTCTCTATGAAAAGAGGAAGAAGGGAATAAAGTAAAAACAGCACAATTGACCCAAAAAAATCACTTGGGAGAGAGGAAGGTAGCTAGCAGAAGGGTGAGGAGTCCCCATCATAGTAGCAGGAACCAGTGACCTGGGACACTCACATTTCTTCCCCCCATGGGCCGGGCAGGTGCAGCCCTGTTCCTCCAGGGCCACTGCCCCTTGGACCCTGTGCTTCCCCATTCCCTTGGGAGGCAGACACTGAGCAGTCTTCTCAGGCTGGGTAGAGAAAGAACCATGCTGAGGGGAGGAGCCCAGGGTCTGACCATTCACAGAGAATGGCCATCCATGGCCCCACTGCCTCCCTGAGGGAGCTACTGGGTGGTGCTGGAGGGTGGACGTCAGGGCTGATATTGACTTCTCATTCAGCTTCAGACAAGAGAAAGAACAGTCAGAGACTCTTAGGCAAAGTACTTGATGTCCACATCCTGGTCCTGGGTCACCTTCTCCAGGATGGGCTTGACTTCACTCTGGAGGGTGCTGTTGTCCAAGATGGGACCTATCTTCTGTAAGGACTTGGCGACATTGAAGTGGATGTTAGCCACTGGGTCCCCAGCCATAAGCAGGACTGTGGGCAGCATATGCTTGGTGGTAATATCCTGCCCACAGACTTCTGACAGCACATTAATGCAGAAGAGTGTAGTCATGTGGTGCAGATAGTTGGGGGTCTCTAGACGTGGCTAACACCTTGCAGATGATCGTGGCATGGGCCCACTCCTTCCCAAACTTTTCCACCAACTTCTTCAGGTTGCAGGTGGCTGCCTCATGGGTGGCATAGACATGATCCACTAGCCAGGCCATGCACAATGAGTTGAGTTTCTCATCAAAGAATTCCAGTCCCAGCTGCCCAGTCAGCAAGGGCATGTGCTCAATGATGGCCAGCCATACCCGCCACTTGGCATCCCAGCACAGTGGCAGGGAGCAGGGACTGAGAGAGCTGCCAGATGCCGATCACCTCATTCACACAGTCCGGTTGGTGATGATGTTCAGTTGCACCTCAGGGCACCCATCCTTCCTGAGCCAGGAAGAGGGGCAGCAGGCGCTCAATGCTGTTATCTTTACCCAAGATGGGTGAGAGGCCCATGACAACTGAGGCCAGGACAGACTTGACATGCTGGTTGGCATATGACCTTGATCTTTGATGCAGGGCAAGATCTGGGGCATGATCACATTCTCCCGCCAGTCCGCTGAGAGATTTGTACAGAACTCCTTGACCTTGTGAGGGGCTGCAGCCCTCACCTCAGGCTCCCAGTCCTTCATCAGGTTCTGGAAGGCAGGGACCAGATCTGTTTTACTGATCTCAGGCTGCACCACTTTCTGGAGCGCTATGAACTTACCAGCCACTGTGTAGAAGATGCCGGGATTTGTCCTTGAATGCCTGGCAGAGTGAGCATAACCAGGGCCTCCAGGTCCTCCTGAGGCAGCAGCAGGGCTATGTTAATGCATGCCTCCACTGCCAGCAGCTGCAGAGTCCTGCTCATTGTAGACCATGTTGGAGAACACAGGGATGATCTCATTCTGTTTTTTTTTTTTTTTTTTTTTTTATAATCAGGGGAAAGTGCGAAGGCAGTTCCCCACTACCACAAATTATGCAGTCAAGTTTCCCACATTTGGGGAAATACCAGGGGTCAGCATATCCGGAGTGCAATGGATAAACCTTGCCCAGGGAAGACCACCTTCATGATCATGATGATCCCCTGCCAGGTAAGTACGATCTCACTCCTAATGTTGTCCACTCCAGCACCTTGGCAAACTCCCCCACCTTGGAGGCTGTGGCCTGCCGCACTATGGGGGTGTCTTCTGAGCACAGGTTCTGAAAGTACTGTCGGAGCCCTGCCTTCATAGCACTGGACACGCGGGGGATAGCACACGCAGAAGAGGCCTCAGGCCGAGGTGCAGAAGGTGAACCAGTTGCCGCCCGCCAGTCATTTTAGAAGTGGCACGAAGTGGGTCTCCAGGTCAAGGGTAAGTGCTCATGAGAGATGGCCTGCAAGTACTCCAGGGCCTTGTCCCGCACCACTGTCTCCTCCATTGTGACTCCAGGGGTGGCAGTGGGCATTGCATGTACTCTGGCCCTCCCACCAGAGTGGTGCAGGTTCCCAGCTGTTCCACCAGTGCCAAGAGTACCTCATCGTCATCGTAGATGGCTGTCTGTCAGGAAGGGCAGGAGCTCACTTTGGGTCCTTTCAGCCCCTAGGGCCAAGGCAGGGGTGGACAGCTTCTTGATGCTACTGAGCACAGATGAACATCCTCATTGCAGAGTTCATCTATGAGCACCACAATGGATTACAGTCATTGCTGTTGGTGGCCGCCATCTGGGCTCCATCGTGTTCCTGTCAGACTGTGGCTAGCACTGCGCTGAAGCTGAGGGAGAATTTGTTGATGGACAGATCTAGGCATAGATCTACAGACCAATGTTATATGTCTAGATAGAGATAGATGATAGATACAGCTGAGCTATAACTCTGCACTCTGTTCAATCCCTAGTACTAATTTGTACTTGAAATGTAGTTTCTGCATTTTGTACTGATTTCCAACATAAGGGTTTTCTAAGATGAACTTTGTGTTTGACAACTCCTGTCTGGCCCCATCTCATTGGTTCTTTCACATGTGTATGTGCCAGGTCCTGCTCCAGGTGCTTGGGTTACACTAAACAAAGTGGATCAAGTCGGGCCTCCTGGACTGGTGCTGTGTTGTCACTTCTTGGAAAAGTCCTGTGTGTAAGGAGAACATATATATACTCTTCATGTGCTGGGTCCTTGTGCTGCATGACCATTAAGTCAAAAAGATTGTTCTGTTTCTTCTGCAGGTCATCTCTTTCCATACTAACTTTTTCTCTGATTACTTTATCAATGCCTTAGAGGATACTAAAACTTCTTCCTGTGTCAATCTGTTTCTCCTGCTTCTAATTGTTGCCCTAGGTTACACATCATTTGGAAAGAGAAGACTAATGCTCAAATTAAGAAACATGCCCTGTTTCCCAAAGTTTATGAACAACGAAGCCAGGTTTCCAGTCGGTCTTCTTTACCCTGACACTTTACTCGGGCCTCCTTTGTTTTGCTGACATCACCCAATAACAACACGTCAGTCTCTTTCCATCCTTTGGGAAATGATTCTTCCCAGACTTTCCCCAAATCACCAGGGTTTCCTGATCCCTGGTTAGGAACATACGTCCTTTTGGCTGGCCATCATGTCCTGGGCTCCACATTGCCAGCACGAAGCCACGGAAGACCTGGCCTAGGGACCAGGAGGCAAGCATATGTATCTGCTGTAAGGCCCTCCTAGGCATTTGCTGAGAGGTGCTACAGGGTGTATTTCTGCATTGCTGTTTGTCAAGAACAGTTTTCTCCTCCCTGTGATATTAATATCACCTGAAGTGATTCTATTTCTTTATTATTTCTTCTCTACAGCAAGAATATAGAGGCTTTAAGTCTTAAAAATAATTATATTGCCATCTGGAACTCACCAATTGTAGTACAAAGTATGATTTATTTCAAATCTCATTAAGCAATATGACTTGCCAGGAACTGTGCTGGGGCACTGTAGATGCACAATGAAGCAAGACATCCTTTCACGGGTAACAGTGCAGTATAAGAGGAAAAAGTCAGGTGCTAAAGGTGTGTAATGCAGAGTGAGGGGGTGTGGCCCACAGCTGGAGGTGGCTTCCCAAGGAAGTGACATTTGCGTGGCTACTGATCAAGTAAAGTGTGTTCCAAGAAAAACATCAGCAAGCGGCGGGGCTTGATTCTCCATACACATTAATTTGTCAGTGTGATTCTTAATTTTCTTTCTGCTGCTATATTTGGATTCCTCATGGACACCCTAATCAAGACTTGTAAGTACATTGTGCCTATACTGTCACACCACCTCGTGCTTCACGATAAGGGCAGAGCTATAACCGAATGGAGTCTGTTCTTCATGAATCTGCTCAATAGGACTCCATGAAAAAAAAAAAAAAGACTCCATGATGAGTAAAACTAATACAAACATTAATGGTCCATCACAAGTAATAACAGAATGTGTTCTGGGAGGCACCTGCTCACAGAACCTCCCCTTGGGCAGAGACAGGAAAAGGAGGCAAGGTGGGTGGGTTCAGGGCAGGCGCTCAGGGCCTACAATCACTTGTAATTCTAACAAAAATTAGACTTACCTTTCTGGGGTGGGAATATTTTACATTCATCCATTCATTCATTTTGCAAATTGAGCCCAGGGTCTTCACAATGTACAACAACTCCCAGGGTTCTTCCTAAGTCACCAAACTACCCAGGTTGGGCTTGAACTTGCAGTCCTACGGTATCAGCCACCCAGAGTGCCATTACAGCTGTGTACACCACACCTAGAGGTTTCAGTATAGTTTGAAGCTCTCCAAGTGGGCAGAGACAAGGATGGCCATAGGGGTGTTTGTCAGAAAAAGCCAAGTTCATCACCAATGTCACAGACTGGAATGTGATGTAAGTCACACTCTCTAGGAAGAGGATTTTCCTGCATGAAAGACTCTGTATTTGATGTTTGGTCAGGAAGCTGACACCAGGAGTGAAGACCAGCAGGGCCTAGCTGGACAGCAAGACTCAGTCACCAGGTCAAAGCCAGGTCTCAGGAGCTGACCTGCAGGTACCTTTTAAAACCAACTGCTGTGACATGATGCCACATCTACTCAGAAATGGTCATTTCTTACACTTGTTTCTATTTTCCTAACAAATGGATAAAGATTTCAGCTGTCATAACAATCAGCGTAAGTAAAAGAACCTAATTTTATTAAATGAAGTTGTCTCCCCAAGGTATTAAATTTACATACAATGAAAGAAAATCTGCACTCAGGTGCTTAAAAATCAGTGAAATGATTATTAGACTATATTTAAGAGAGCATGCCTTCGAAAACAGAATACCAGATATCCCTGTCATTTACTTGAAAGTCACTTTGACAATATTGTGTATAAAGTAATTAGAGCTTTGGGTTAGAGATAATGGAGCATAAGAAACATTTGCTTTGAAAGGGAAGTCAGTATCAATGCTATCCTAATCTCTACACAATAAAAGAAAATCCTATCTCTTAATTACACTATAATGACTCAAAATCTTTAGAGAAAACCCTTCAACTCTTACATTCACTTGGACTCCTTCAAATTTTCTCCCGTGAAATAATGCAAAAAAGTACTTGCAAGACTTTCATGTATCATGATATCCTTTTCAACTTGGGATGTGAAAATGCATTTGTCATAAGGAATAAAGGAGAAAGGGAAGGTAGGAGAGTAGGCAGCTGCCTGTGCCCCCGAGTCTTGGCTGCTCCCTACTAGGGGGGGACATTGGAAGATGGCTGTGGTCAAAACAAAAGAGTGCAAAATAAACTTTTAAATCCCTACACATTACTGGATTTATCTGTTTACTCCTAGACAAATTAAAATTACAAGTGAAATTTCTATTTCACAGGATATTTTCCTGTGTGAACTAAAAGGTCCAGTTGCTAACTTTCAAATATTTAAATGACCCATGACTTGCATCCCTATTCTAGTTAACAATTATGTTTTCTTTGTGCTTTGCAAGACCCCTTGAAGCATGTACCTCAAAAGGACCACGGAAAATCAGCTGTAGATATAGGGAAAGTCTTAATGGTGCCACTGTGCATATTCTGTCAGGAATGCATGTCTCCTGCAGGGTCCGCTGGTTGGGCCTATGAACCTGTTGGTCTCAAGGGTGATAACAGGGTAATAATGTGAATTTTAGGGTCCCTCTTTAAGACCAACCAAATCTGAGACTTCTAGGGTACGGACAGTGATCTGTGAACTCTCCAGGTGATCCTGATGCCCACTAACCTTGGGAATCTTTCCATTAGAACACCTCATGCCTCAGAAATCAAAATCAAGGTGCCACAGTGTAAGGAAGTCAGTCATATGGAAATGAGCAAAGGAAACTGCCTTTCTTTCAAACACCAAACAATGTAAAATCATGGAGCTACAATTTAGGTTATATTGAGACACCTAACTGAAATGCATGTGAAAGTTGCTTTCAGCAATTCTGGAATTATCCCTAATATATACATCCCTTGTGGAAATGATAACATGTGACTTTTGCTGTAAATATATGAGGCCAGCGAGTCCGGCAGGACCCAGTGAGATCAGCAGATAAAGGATCAAAGTGCAAGGTGTGCATACACTAATGGCAAGGGAAACCAGCCTCAGGGAAGTGGAGGCAAGGAAGACAAGCCTAACTGGAGGGCAAAGGACAAAGTCCTGGCAAGGGGAAACTGCTGTTCCACAGGTCCTGCTGTCCCTTTCATGCCAAAACGCTATTCCATACTATAAACTTTGAGAAATGTGGCTACTTCCTTGCCATTTCCCCCTTGGGAATCCCCAACTATTGAGAGCTCTTCTTCCCTCTCATAAACCACACCTGGCCTTTCCCCCACTGCTGTCTGCTGGGCTTCACTCTTCACTGCCTGCAGGACAAGCCAAAGAGAAACCTGGTCAGCCTCAGTCATTGTTCCTATCCTTGACTCACACCTGGCCACACTGCACGATGACAGATTTAGTTTGGTGGAAATGAAAAGAACAGGAAAGAAAAACACTTTCGACATGTTTTCATGATCTTTTTTATTTAGCATGTAGTCCATGTAGACAAGTGGCATAAAATTCATAAAAATACCATACTCCTGTGCAGTCTCCCCTTAACAGCACTGGCTTGGTTCAATGGCACTCTCTCCGCTGGGTGTTTGGAGAGGCTTGGCTTTTTGTGGAACCACTGCCCCAGCTTGGCTTTTCTTATACATCATAGCAACAACTATTTCCATCACTTCCTTTACTGTCTTCACACTAAAACAAAAATATTTTTAAATCCTAAAAATATGCAAAATACTGAGCTTTAATACTGCTTTACCCAGAATGCACTGCGACTCCATGTCTGTAATCAGCAGCAGGGAAGAGCCCACAGCCTCTGCCCGAATGACTCCCAGGAACAGAAGCATCATTTGCTGGGGTTGGGGGGGGGGGGCTGACATGAAACAATACTGTTACAAAAGGATTCTTCTGAAAAACTAATTTAGGCTACTTTTAATGTTTCCCACCCAGGACATGACTGTGACGGTATCTGAATGGGGTATCTGAATGGTCCTTCCATGTGAACTTGCTAGAAAAAGGAATTGTTACAGGGTGCAAAGATAGAGAGTAACTTTAGAAGTCTGAATGACTGAAACGTAATTGCTGGATGTACACAATTCGGGTAGGAACCACTGCTGACAGCCCAAGAGTCCTCCTTTGTTCCCACCCCTGTGGGGCTCTTTCTCCACAGTCTCAAATACTCTCTCCTCATTTTTCCAAGTTGTGACATCATCGCTCAGATGTGGTCCTTAACTCACACATCCCCAGCTACGTCCCTGTTTTCCAAGACATGCAAAACCCTAAGAAATAAAAGTTGTCAAGCATTGAGCAAAAGAGACCAAGAATAAGTCCCCAGTCACCTATGCTGACCCCCAGCAAGGAGGCCACCAGGACTCCAGGACCAGGCAAGGACACTCACTTCTTGGCTTCTGTGCTGTCTGTGGCCACCTGCTGCCGGCCAGCTAGTGCCCCTAAACCAGGCTGTCCCCAGGTTCTATGGCTTACACAGAGCAGCTCTTCCGTGGTTCCCATGAGGAGCCCAGAGACAATCCCCAAGGAGCCAAGTGCCGAGGACAAGCCACAGGGAGGGGAAGCTGCCTGTGGGTAATACACAGAACACGGGGATTAAATGCATACTCAGCCATGGTCAAGGTTTGCTTAGAATTAAAGCCCCCAAACCATTTCTCAAAATGAGGATGATTCAGTGTTTTGAACAATCTCATTTCACGCAAATTAGCTTCTAAGAAATAAAAGTTTATACAAGGAATTCAAAGCACATTTGAAGATTTTTTAAAATAAAAAGTAGGAAGAATGATGAAAAAGACTAAATGCATTCAATCCTCACATTACAATGATGATTTTTAGAAGCAAAAATTACAGGACTTAAAGCTTGAAAGCAAAACAGAAAAACTACTCATTCATCATTATTTACTTTTTTGACAGAAAGTTAGTCATATTTTATTTTATCTTAATAATAAAAGAAAAAGTACCAGATACTACAGTCCACTGCACATTATATATCCTTAAATATACATTAGCTTCTATATTGACACATTTGGGGTTCTTCAAAATAATCTTTCTTTAACCTACAATTAAATATGAAAAATTTTTAAACTGGTCTAAAGGTATTAAAATATAAACATCTGAATAATACTAAAAATGAGGAGAATACACAGTTACCTTTTTTTAAAACCAAGAACAAGTACTTGATATGCAACCTGATGAGAAAACAACATTTACCTGACAAAAACTAGGTCTGGGAGAGACAATAATGCCAGGGGTTGGATGTTAAAGGAATTTGGTCCTCGCCACTGGATCTAAGAGCCTAGGAAAATAGCCAGGAAACGCTTCAATCACAAGAGCAAGAGAACAAAAAAAAAAACAGAGGGAGACACCACACAACAACAACCACACCCACCCGTGCACCACAGTGCTGGTGCTGAGTGGGTGGGTAACCGACCAGATTCAGGAGCAGGAGGTGGGGGGCAAAGCAAGGGGCACCGGTGCAACATGAAGCCAAATCAGCCCAGCACCTTTTAGGATGGACATTCTCCCACCATCTCTGTCAATTACCCAGCACACAGTTTTACACAAGTCACTTTGCTCACTTCAGCACACATATGTAAGTCAAATGTAGGCATATACTTCTTTGCATAGCAAGTTTCCAGGAGTGCCCTGAAACAGTAATCTATCAGTAAGCACACAAGTCATTGTTACAACCAGAATAATGCTCAAACTCATCAAATGTCCTCCAATTTTATTGCTGCCTATACAAATTTTGGGATTTGAATTAAAAACAAAACATGACTTGTTAGCAAAACATTAAGACCACGGTTGATGCAAACCGGCTGTCAGCAGCAATTCACATTGTCATCACTCTTATAACCTCTAGGACTTTGTAAACACTGTTCTGGAATACAGTAGTGAAGTGAGGCTTGGACTCCTTCACCAAGAGGTTACACAGGGGTGTCTTTCCAGCATTGGTGGGATCTTCCACATCCCAAATTTCAGGCATACTGCAGCCAGGCCTAGAAAAGGAATCAACACACATTACACAACCGCAGATACAAAAATCACAATTTATTTATTTATTTATTTATTTATTTATTTATTTATTCTTATGTATTTGGTATAGGATCCTCAGGGTCTACAGGGTCTCACTATGTAGATCGGACTCATAGTGATCCCCCTCTTTGCAGCCTCCCAAGCACTCAGATTACAGGTGCGTGCCACCACGCCCAGTCTCAATCACTGTCTCGGTGCACCTCGCAGGCAGGGCCGGCACAGCAGGCCAGGGATTTAACTCTGGCTGCTGTGCTCTGCCTAAGCAGGCACTTTAGTCTGCTCAGCTATCTGGCAGGCCCCAAAGACCACAATTAAGATTTCAAACTTTACTTCACTGTTTTCCTACTTAAATTAGCTTTTAAAAAAACATACACATTATGTGTTTACTTATGTTTTTGTAGGCTGCTGCAACTTCTCTTTAGGACAAGGTGGGTGCAGCAGGTGAAGGACCACAGTGAAGGAACCACACTTGCAGAATGCATGGGTTAGGTGCTGGAATATAAGAGGCTTTGAACAAATTCTGCTTTAAGTATTTGTCAAGTTACATGCTGGGTAATTATATCCACTCAGCCTTAGTTTCCATATTTGTGAAATGTAGAATCACCCAAGTGTCTCAGTCACTTTTCTGTTGCTGGGACAAAATACTAACGCAACTAAAGGAAGAAAGCTTTATTTTGACTGATACTTGCAGTTGATTGTCTTCCAGCTCCAAGGAAGATGGCATGGAAGAGGGGCAAAGCAGGGAAAAGCTGTGTGGCTCCTGGCAGCCAGGGAGCAAGAGGAAGGAAGGAGTCAGGAGGGGATAAAGCCTTCCAGGCCATGACCCCGTGACCAGTCTTTTCCAAGAGACCCAGTGCCTAACAGGAAGTCCAGCTATACGCCCCTGTGATCCAATCACCTTCCCAAACCTCCAGCTCTGAGTGCACACAGCTTTTGATGTACATCTAGAGTAAAACTGTAACATTCCACTCCAGCCCAAAAAAGGCTCAAGCTCATCTCATCATGCCAAACACAGTCCATCTCTAAAAGCCTCCAAAATCTTAACAGATTCAGTACTGCTGAAAAGTCCACATTCAAAGTCTAAAACTTAATGAGAAGTCCTACCTACAAGCCCTAGTAAAAATCAAAAAGAAAGCTAAACATTTTCAACATACAATGGCACAGGGTAAACACTCCTACTCAAAAAAAGGAGTAATGGGGGATAGGAAAGGATGGACCAAAGCAAGACCAAAGCCCAGCAAGGTGAACATTAAATCCTGCATCTCTGAGACCAGCACTTGGGCAAGCTGTGGCAAGATGCAAGCCCCAAGGTGCGTGAGTGGCCCTGCCCCTATGGCCGGCTAGCTACAGTCCACATGGCCTCCCTCTGGGGCTGGCTGTGCTCACTGTGCAGCATTCTTCAGCAGCTGATCCATTTGTAAGACAGTGGATGCACCTTGAGACCACAACGCTAACTAAAATAAATCATACACCAGAAGCTGAGGTATTGCATTGCTTGTCTTATATGAGAAATCCAGAGTAAAACTAGAGTAAGATAAAAGACAACGGGAAGTAGAGAGATAAGCTGTTCTTAAATAGAGCCCTTGTATTACGGCTGTAGAATGTCCTGGTGGCTGAGCTGTGAACTGAATCTTAAGAAACTGATTTCCTGTGTGGCCCTTCTCTAGTAGGGTACCCTAGGCTTCTCTTTTTGAAGCAAATTCTTAAACACTGAACCTTTGAAATATGGGGTTGTTATGATTTGGTTCTAGGTGTCCCCCCCCAAAGCCTCATGCAGTCTTGGGGCAGCTACTGGAGTTTGTGATTGATTATTGTGAGTGTGGATGCTGCACCTGCACTGAGGCAGGTAATTTGCATTACAATGTAAGGGGGAAGAAAAGTTGTCTAGCTGCTTGAGCTGCTGCTACCCTTTCCCTTGTGCTCTTGCTCTTTGTCACCATGAAAGGTTGCTCTCTGCCACATGCTGCTCTGCCTTGGAGCCAGCCAAGTATGGACTGAAACCTCCAATATCTGTGAGCTAAATAAACCTTTCCTTCCTTCATTTTGGGTGTCAGGTATTTGTCCCAGCAATAAGAGAAGAGTAACTGAGAAGGGGGTTTTGCTGGTTCCCAGGATGTCCTCAAGGCATCCTTCCTATTGTACTGATGTAAAGTATCTGATTTCTTTTTAATTTTTTTTAGCAACCAAGCTCTCCTCAGCCAAACTTTACAGGAGTTTCCCTGTGGGAAAACTAAAAACTTCTTAAAAGCACTCAACTATGTCCTTTCCTCCTAATTCTCAACATACAGCTAGCTAAAAGCCCCAACAGCACCCAAGCCACACGCTAAACATTGGGCTGCTCTGAAATTTCCTCCACCAGATTAGTCTGCCACCCTTGTTTTCATTCTCCTCCACTAGGGCTCAGAACATGAGCAGAGTATAGACCCATACTTTGCCATGGAATAGCACAATCTCAAGTCCAATAGCCAATGGAGTTCTTGCTCACAGCTGAAACCTTCTGAGCCTGGTCTTTACCATGTGCCTTTTATTTTTTTTAATTTTGGCAGAACCGGGGATTGAACTCAGGCCCTTGTGCTTGCCAGGGAAACACTTATTCTACTGAGCCATCTCCCCAGCCCCACCATGTACCTTTTAATCTAGTCCCCTGAGCTCCAAATAGAATCTCCCATCAATCTTGGCTTACAGGAGCCTAAAACTTCTCTGCCTGGCATCTCCAAACCTTTCTGAACTCTTTATCCTGCAAACCAATTCCAAAGGCTTCTATACCACATGGTCAAGTAGTCACAGTGATGACCCCACTTCTCTGTCTAAGACAAATATTGGTCTTATTCTCTGGGACACTCTTCTAGGCCATGACCCAGGGACCCACCTCCTCTGACCGGACTCTACCTTCTAAGAGTAAGCCATCTAGACTAGCCTCAGGATTCAGTTATCTTCCAAAAGCTCTGATTATGAACTTATAAGGAGTTGAGGATATCTAGATTTAAGCCACAACACCAGACATACATTTGTTGAATTAAGATAGGTACCTAGTCCTATGCTCAGCATATAAAAAAGATATACTGATTTTTAAAATTATAATTAGTATGCATACTTAATTTATAGAGAAGATACACTAATTTTCTGCATAATTAAATCTTAAAAGCAATATATTTTTCTAAAGACTGATATAAGTGAAATTGGTACCCAGTGTTATCCGCCTAAATAGATTCTCCAAAATAACTGTGACATTTCATTTAAATCAGGAACAGTTTTATAGATATAACTGGTAGAGTCTGACAAAGTTCATAGCTTTACAGATATAACTCAGAGTTTGACAAAGTTTGTACTTTCCTATTTTTGAGAAATCTTATGAAACAGAAAAAGTACATGAAGAAATATAGAGAATTGATAACTGCTATCTTTTGTCATGGGTCTTCATTTTTCTTTTAAAATTAAATGAAAAGAAAATCATCTCCAACAAGTACCTTTATCTCCAATGTCAGTTCTCCAAATTAACTTCTACAAATAACGGCATGTATCCCATCCATGCTTGCCACGCACATAAACCCAGACAAGCTTTCTGTTTCTCCTTCTCTCCCTTCCTTGTCCCTCTCCCTATCCTTTCCCTTTCTCAGACTCCTCCTGCCTCCTGGAGTTGTTTTTACAAAACCAGGACTATTCTAGGTCTCTCAACAATCACATGTGGTAATTTTCTGTTATGAGCACATAAAGGCCACAGTACTCTCCTCAGACTTTGTCCTCATCAGACTCCCTGTGTGCATCTCCTGCGTAGGGCTCCAGTGCACATCTATTGCAAGTCCTCACCAATATTAACTCCACTGACCTTGAATTCAAAGGATAAGGATAGGGGCTGGGGAGATGGCTCAGTGGAATAAGTGCTTCCCTGGCAAGTGCAAGAGCCTGAGTTCAATCCCCCGTTTCACACACAAAAAAAAAAGGAATTCAAAGGATAACATGGCTGGGCTCCAGTTTCCACCTTCTAATTTTCTCTTGCAGGTTAAGGCCAGCAGGATAGCGAGTGAGACATAGGGGCTGAAAACTGCCCTGACTTCCCTAACTTCAACCCCTCTTTGGAAAAAGAGAAGGCAAAGAGCTGTCTTTGTGCTGTCTACTGTGCACAATGTCCTCTCATCCTTATCCGAGCTCCTGAAGGTCCATGGGCAGCCAAATACATCTTTAATAACAGTAATGCATGCTGTGTCTCACATACTCAGCAGTCTGATATGAGGCCAGCCTGGGCAATATCGGGGTGAGAGCCCCATCTCACATAAAAGTTAGTGTAAATAGGAATCATTTTCTCCTAAATACATTTTTTTAAAAATTTAGGTCAACTCTATTATTGTAATTAATGAGAGAAAACAAAGAACTGAGAATAAAATAGCTACCTAAATACTTTACCACATTAGCATCAGCTGCATTTTGGAGCTTGTATCTGTACACAAGTGTGGACTTCTTGAGCCATAGCCCTGAGCCTCACAGACCCAGCACTCCCAGTGTGCCAGGCAGGTGCAGATGAAGCACGAGGTGCAATGAGAGGAGGTGAATGGCATGTGATCGGATGCGAGGAGCCTCTGCCCAGTGCTGTGGGCCCAACCAGCCTGCCAGGTTTCATGTCCACACAGCTGCCAGCTGTCTGGGACTGGTATAACTGAGGATGAGAGGAGGCCACAGCAACGAACCCCCAACTGGGATAAAAAGCTGTCAGGAAACTCAGCTGTTGTAGGCAGCTGCTGAAGCTGGAAACAGGTCACACAGGTGGGGGCTGAGGCAAAGCCAGTCAGAGAACAAAGCCTGAATGAGCACAGCATTTTGCCTTCATACCCTTATGTGCCGCTGAAATCCATAGTAGGCAAGGGGAACTAAGCATGGACGCACTCTCCTGAAGTCACGGTTTAGCTAAAGAGCACTGAAGAGTTTTAAAATAATGTTCTATAAAATATCCTCAATTTCTGGTGAAACTGCTTGTGTGCTGGCCTCCTCCTGCCATGGAGGGCTCATCTTTTAATAACAGGCTGCCCTTGGTGACTGGTGAGATAGCTCAGCAGTCTAAAGTGCCTGCTTAGGCAAGCTTAGGCAAGCACAGGGACTGCGGTTCAACCCCTGGCACCACATGCTGCCCCAGCCCCTCCTGAGCCAGCAACAGAAAAAAAAAAAACAAACAAAACAGGCTGCTGTCCTCTGCCATCTGGTTCTTTTGTGACACAGTCAACTTCAGAATTCACAGGGGCCGTGTTCCATCCTCCTGACATCTGTCAGTCCCCTGGTGATTGAACTTCTCCATGGAAACAGAAAGTCTCTTAAAGTATAAGCCCAAGAGAATGCAGGTCATGGTAAAGTCATTCAAAATTTTCCCACTCAAATAAGCAGTGAAACAGTAAGAAAGGACACTGTCATTCTAGCCTGCTGCTGGGGGCCTCATCTACCCACAGGACCCATGTGATGCCCAACAGGCCCTGGATGACAGGCCAACTCCCACAGCCTTGTGACGTGCCAGG